TTTGAAAACGTTTTGTAACATTTAAAAATGTTTTGTGCTAGCTTGGTCATACTCGAGCATCGAACGGCTGTAGAGTTTTTCGTATATCTTGGAAACTCCTTTGCAATAACATATAATAATTTGTACAAGGTTTATGAAGACAAAAGACTTGTCATGAATTGGATTAATTGTTTTAGTGAAGGAAGGGAGATGGTTAAAAATGATGTTTGTTCTGTTGCCCAGTTAAAGCAATCTCGGGAAGAGATGTGTCCTTAGTTGAGCAATTTGTTATGAAAGATCGCCAATTTACAGTTAGAAAAATAGTTGAATATCTTAATAATGCAATCATTAAATCCCTAAAATATCGTTTACTTTAGACTTTAAACATATGAGATATGATAAAAAGAAGGCGCCCATGCTTTATCCACATTGGATAAACGACGCTCCCAAGACAGAGGACTCGGGTTTTGATGGTCACCATGCTCAACCTGGGAAATGATGTCCTTATCCATAATCCTATTGCCGAGATTTAGCCATTTCTGACAATTGGACTGTTCTTGTTATAAAAAAAAAAATAATTTTCGTGGTAAGAAATATAAGAAATATAAAACTCGGAAAAATCGATAAGCTTCTGTGAACAGAAAGACTCGGAGCATGTCACGCGCATGGGCAGAACGGTGGCAGATGTGCATTAAAATCGGAGAGGACTACTTTAAAAAATAATAAACACTGAAACCGAATTTCATTTCTTGTATGGAAGCAATTCAATTATTTTGCGAACTATTTGATCACCCCTCGTATTGTCCGTCGCTCTACACACTGATAGTATCAATTATAATTCATAACACAATATTTAAACATAAATAAATGCACTGTACAAATTAATATATTAATTAGTATAATTTATACGCTCATTAATATTGTGTTACACGGGGAATGGTGGGGCCACAACAGGGGATCAAAGTTATACAAAGGAATATATAGGAAATATCTTTTAAAAAAATTTCAGTAACAGCAAAACCATGATAAGTAATAAAAGTACAGAAGCATCCTCAGATAATGCAGATTCAAATTTGTACAAATCATGATCTCCGGCGGTAGGTTGGGGCCGCAACAAGGGATCAAAGTTATAGGTATGGATGTATAAAAAATGTCTTTATTTTTATTTTTATCGAGAACAGCAAAGTCATGATTAGTCATATCAGTACAAAAGCATCCTCAGGTAATGTAGATTCAAGTATGTTCAAATCATCACCCCTGAGGTATGTTGGGGCCACAACAGGGATCAAAGTTATATATATGAATATATAGAATATATCTTAAAAAAATCTTTTTCTCAAGAACAACATTTCTCAAGTCATGATTAATCATATTTGTACAGAAGCATCATCAGGTAATTTAGATTCCTGTTCAAATCATGACCCCTGAGGTAGGTTGAGAAAAATCTTCTAAACCCATGATTAGTCCAAGAGATATTCCATTCATATGTCGAGACGATATATCCCAGTGAGCTTGAAATAAAAGATACGACAGAGTCAGACACATCTATTTCATATTAGGATATTTTACTAGAAAAAGACGTTAATGGTAATCTAACAACAAAGCTTTATGATAAACGTGATGACTTCAACTTACTTCCCTTACTTATGTAGCAATATACCCTTATCACCTGCATATGGGGTTTATGTCTCTCAGTTGATTCGATAAGCTATTGACAAACAAGTTGATGAAACAAGGATATCAACAGTCTCGTTTGAAGTCATCATTTCGATGATCTTGTCAGCACATACAACCTATAACTAAGTCAAATTCTGACTGACGTTTTTCATACTAATTGTTAGGCCATTATTTATACACTGAACTGTCGACGGATTTTTCCGGGTTTTTTTATCATGGCAAGGAGCACACAGCGGGTGTGACCGGTTGGCAGGGGATGCTCACTCCTCCATGGCACCTGATCGCACCTCTAATGTTTTTGGAGGTCCGTGTTTGCTCCGCTCCCGATTTGTATTGTTTTAAGAGCTTGAATATTGTTCATTATCTCCATATTTTATCTCAATGATATTCAAACAGCTCTCGTAGTTTAGAAAAACAAAATATGTTTGTGATACATTGATGACCCCATATAACAGCTCAAGACCAAGGTGAAAGTTTTCAAAAGTATTTCAAACTCGAGGTATATTCATGAGATTAAAAAATGGTACCAATGGTCTAATCACAAGAAAAATACACTTGGAATATGAAAGCCCTAGAACCAACTGTTCAGAAGTTAAAGCCAAGGTTAAAGTTTTTCAAAAGTAGGCAAAAATCTAAGGTCAAGGCCACGAGGTCAGAAATTAATGGTAACTCAAAGTAAGGTCTTGTTACAAGGAATACATATGTGGAATATGAAAGCACTAGCAACATAAAATTATTAATGGGCACATGGTTGTAAAGTTTTCATTGTGAGGGAAAAAATACCAGAAAAAATATTACACCCTTTACAAAAACACCTAGAAGAGGGTGGAATATTATTTTCCGGTATATTTTTTTTTCACGTAAAAGTTTTTCAAAAGTAGGTCAAACTCGAGGTCAATGCTACGAGGTCAGAAATTAATGGTACCCAAAGAAGGGTATTTTCAGAGGGAATACACATGTCATGTAGAAAATGAAAGCACTAGCACCAAGCTTCAGAAGTTATGGTCAAGGTTAAAGTTGGTTAAAGTTTTACAAAAATAGGTTAAACTCTTACGTCAATTTCATGATGACAAAATTGTCGGTTCCCAAAGAAAAGTCTTGCAGGGATTTATCAGCCTATTTTGGGAAACGCCATTTTTGGGGAATTGGAAAAAATTATCGGCTATTTGAGGAAATTGGGAAAAATTAAAAATGTTGCTTAAGTCTTGTATTCAGGTGTAATTCATTTAACATTTCAGCATGAACTCTAATTTGGGCATCCAAACAGACAATTAAATATGATCCAACTTCATCAAACAAAAAGAAACAAAAATATCAAGTCTGCTGTTTAAATTAAGTGATACCGTAAATCAAAAGACTAAGAAGATTACTTGGATAAATAATGTCTTAAATATCTTAAACGATTGTGGACTTTCAAATATTTGGAACAGTCAAGCCTTCAATCCAAATTGGTTAAGAGCGAAAGTAAAACTAACTTTAATAGATCAATTTAAACAAAAATGGAATTCGGATGTTCAAAATTTATCAAAGACCCTAAATTATAGAATATACAAAGACGAACTAAAATTTGAAAAATATTTAGAAATTCTATCACGAAAAGAAGCCATAAATTTCTGCAAATTCCGTACTTGTAATCATTATTTGCCAATTGAAACTGGACGTTGGTTAAATGAACCAAGAGAGATTAGACTATGTAAGAAATGTCAATTAAATGAAATAGGAGATGAATTCCATTACATATTAAATTGTACGGCAATGACACGTGAAAGAAATAAATGTTTAACACAAAAACAATTACGATTCAAAAATACAATTACATTTAGAGAAATAATGAATTCAGATAAACAGTCATTTTTAAGAAAACTGTGTATATTTATTAAAAAAATTACTAAAACGTGCTCCCCAAACTAGTAAAGACCTAAACCTATAATTGTATACTTGCCTATAATTGCCTACTATTTGTCTATCCTCATACTCACGCATGCCATATAATGATATATGTGTTTTTTTTTTTCATCATTGTAGTTTACATTTATATCTCGCTATACAATTGTAAAATTGTGAAGAGATCAATAAATTCAGTTCAAACAAGATCAATTATGAATAATAGACTAATAAATTAAAAAGTAAAATTGACTTCAAAGAGTATAAAGTATTTACCTATACAACTTAGGGTAGTACATGTGTGTGTGAGATTCCAATTTAGGTCATTATAGAATCTGTTTCTGGAGATTATAAACCTCGTGCAAAAATATATTAAGTATACATTTTCTCAAAGTCCTATTTTAATATGTATTAAAACATTGAAAATATATTTTTCTATCTGAAATAATGCCTACAGTCCTTACCATTCACTTGTAGATCAATTGAGTAAGTGGATATAACTTAATAAATCTATACAATTACACAATATCACCATTTTCAGAAAAACAGAGGAAATTCGGATTAAAAGTTGGCGATGTTTTTACAGTGTTTTTAAACATGTGTTATGACTGTAGCTTTGCTAAATGAGTTAAATAGATGAAAATTACAGACAATCTGACAATTTTACTCTGTGTTTTTCCAAGATAATTAAATATAAAAGCATTGTTCACCAATTGGAAAAAAATACTTCTAAACTGGGAAAAGCTGAACTTATTTTCAATTGGGAATGGAGCCGAATTTCGGCCCCTGAGAAGGTATTGATAAATCCCTGGTCTTGTCACAAGGGAAACAGATGTGAAATATGAAAGTCTAAATAGACAATAAAGGCACAAGTGCTGTACATGATATTGTAGAAGAAAAAGGTAGGCCTAGTAAACACTTGGTTGCGTTTCCTCTGAAAGGGAAAATGACTGCAACTTTCATGAGGGTCGTACTTCATGTAATTTGGAGCTAGATGCCTGTGTTATTTTTATAATATGGGTACAAACCTTAAATACAGAAACAAATACCTGTGGTTAATTATATTGACTATAATTCTGTATAGTTTTAAAAATAAGAAGTTTTGGAGTATTGAAAAGGTCTGCATTTTTGACTCCTGTAAACATCTCACTGAAAGCGATGGTTCACATCACCTTACTCGAATAAATTTTAATCGCACAAAAATAATGATAACGCATTTAATCACATAGCTAAAAATATAACATTATCAATAATTTTTAGTAACAAAAATGCCTATCCTGTCCTGTAATATAAATTGGAGATTAAACGGATTTACATAATTTTATGTACATTTATTTATTTGTTCCAGGTTATATTCAAAATTTAAAAAATGTATTTTTTATCATTTAGGGTATCTTTATATAAATAAAATATAAAAAGGGTGTTCCTACAGTATATATTGTAACATTGCTCAGTAAAAGTTTGTTTATATTTTAAAAAAAAAATATTTTTAACCCTGATACGTAATGTTTAAAAATCGTCAGAAATAATGTGTCTTTCTTAACTTAATGAAATGTCTCGTCACATAATTCATCATTAATTTCTAAAATCAAATTGTCTTTCTTCTTGCAATACTTTTCCTTTTCTCTCTTTTTAATTTTAAACAATGTTCTTGATGTTTTCACGCTAGAGATTAAACAATGACATAAAATCCATAGCAGGCTTACTCTCAGATTAAAGTCTGAGGTTGAAATCCTTGATTATGCGTTTCCTTTTTTTCCAAAACCGGAAAATCTTCCAGTTGGATGGGTCTGTTGGGTGAATTATTATTCTGACCACTACTGAATCCTGTTAAGGTATCCCTTTTGGTCGTTTGTCTTCGTTCTTGTATCCTTCCTACATGATTTTCGAAAATAAATGGAGCGTAATTTGTATTTTTTGTTTTTCGCTTGTTTGAACGCTTTCTCTTTCTTTCTTCTTCATCCTGGCCTTTGTTTTTGATAGGATTGAATGGTAAATATCCTTGTTTAAGTTCTTGACCCTTTCCGTGTGCATCGTTTTTGTGCTTTGGACTCCACAATTCCTCTTCAGGGATTTTCAAATGAACAACATTTGTCTCTTTGTTTCTTCTTGTTTTTAGCTTAGCTCCTTGTCCAATGTGGTATTCTCTTTGTTGTGGTCTCCCTTTTCCGCGCAATTGCTGCAAAGGTTGCAGAAAAACTCCATCATGCCTGCAATCAAATAAACATTTATCCATGTCCTTCATCTTTGAAAAGGGATGACCTAAAATATAAAGTAATGTTAATTTGTTAAATCCTCAGTTTATTATACACTTACATGAATATGATGATACACTGTATACATGTATAATGAAAAACAAACAAGTTCCGATGAATAATTTTTACTTTAGAAATTAAACCTAACTTACCATTAATACAGATTTTCCAGGTACTAGCGTGAATATCAACAACTGCAGTCAGTTTCGGAAACTTATCCGCAGCCTGTGTCCATGCTTTACCAATACTTGTAAGAAATGGTATGAAATATTGTAACCTTTCTAGAACATCTTCTGTACATTCGCTATTTTCCCCTTTAAGTTTTACAAAATACTTTTGTATGTCTTCAACGTTTTGTTTAAAATCTTCATATTTTTCACAAAAATGTTGTTCATTATGTAGACGTTGTTTCTGTTGATAAATCGAGTCCACATCTAGAGCAGAAACTGGTTCATTATCAGTGACCTTATTCTCAGAACTTAAGTCTGTGTGTGACAATTTGACATTTTTTTCAAAATAAACGTTATATAGGGTTCCACTAAAGAATTTCCATAAAGCACTTACAGTATTCATCTTTTTATATATACTTTCAAACGTCTGATTTCCTGGTTGTTTTCTCGTCATCAGATATCTTGAAGATGTTAAAATGGATTTGGCAAATGAAAACAACACGGTATTTGTCTGCAAAAGAGAGTTTTCATTTGCAGCCAAAAAAGTTCCAAATTTTGCAATATAGTTTAAGCAATCTTCCCCGTTACTGATAAGAGCTGGAAAAGCAGGAAAGATTAGCTTTACTGATGTTCTTTCTACCTGATTTCTAATCATATTAAGTGCGAGTTTCTGCTTCTTAAGTTCAACATTGTAACGTGGGTGCCACCTCACAATCGTAGAACATTTTGGACATCGTTTTATAGAGAAAAAATCGCCAAAACTTTCCATATAATCATCAATACTTTTGGAATCAAAAATATGCCCACAGTCTTGAAGCTCAACAAAGACAGTTGATTTGACAATTGAAATCTTCCCAAGTTCGTTCTTGTTGCACTTTTTGCAAAGTCTCGGGCAAGGATCTCCACAAAAGCCTATGCATTGATGACCACAAATCAACTTTTTATTGCATCTTTCATTACACTTTGCACGATTGCAAATCTCAAAACATTGCTGAGAACATTTGTAATGGATGCATTTCCAGTCGCATGGTCTAATGCACATTGTACATACTTGGAAGCATGGATGGACACAAGCATGATGACAACATCCGAGACTGCATATACCAGAACAGGGTCCACAATAACCACACGTACTACTTAAGCACTGGTGGCCACATATAAGAAACTTTTCACAAACCTTTTCACATTCCTTGTGTTGAAAATTATTTTCACATTCTGGGCATGACCCCTGACAAGTGTGGCCACATAAAAGATCAGTTTCGCATGGTTGCATACAACGAATGTTTTCGGCTTCCTGTTCTGAACATATTGCTGATGATGTGTGTCCGCACGCTAATTTTACAAGTACGCTGGTTTTGCACGGTGAAAATCTGGAAAGTTCAAAGCCACTAAAATTTTTCAGGAAGCAGAATATTTCATCCTCATGTTGACAATCTAGTCGAATGATTTTTACCTTTTCTTTGCATGATACATCAGCAGGGTTTCTACAGCATTCAATGCGTACACTGTGTCCACAGGATGGTATTGTTTTCGTTGTTTCTTTCCAACATTTGATGCTTGCATCACAAGGATTTACATAGCATGGTATTTCAAGAGAGTGATTGCATTTTAGCTTTTTTAGAACCTGAACTTCACACTGTATGTTAACGTCTTCGATATCTGTGTTGCAAGGTAAAGTTTTGACATGTCCGCAGGTTAACTTTTTCTCTACCGGTTCTTCACATTTTATTTGTGAAATGTCCTCACAACATTGAACATCTAACAGGTGGCCACAGAGCATTTCCTTTTTCACTCGAGCTGTGCACACACAGGGCTCTGGATGATGACATCCTTGATGACATATATGTTCCGCTGTACACATTTTACCGCACATTGACTGGCATTGTGCATTGTGTTTCTGGTAACATGGAACAGGCACATTCTCATGATGACAATTAAATTTTGACATTACCGTTTCCATACACAGGATTGGTTCGTGCTGTTGATTACAAGCGATTTCAATTTCATGTCCACAATTCAGTTTTTTCTTTACAAGTTCTTGGCAAGGATTCTTTTTCTGATACATACTTGGCAGTTCGTGACATTTTCTAGTATAGAAATGATTACAGTTGCGTTTTATGTCCAAAGCAATTGCCAAGGTTAATGATGATCTGTGCAAAAATCTCAAATTTCTTTTCTCTGTGACATCTTCTACGCATTTGTAACCTATCAGACTCATGTAACATGGTAACTTGGCTTCATGCCTACAATTGAGTTTTTTAGTGACCATTTGTTTGCACTGATATTTTTTAACATCAACATGACATTCAAGCTTTATTTCATGTTTACAGCTCAAAACCCTCTTCACCATTTCTCTGCATTTATATTTCTGCGGACTTTCACTGCAATGCATTTCCACTTCATGTTCACATGGAAGTCTCTTAACAACGACCTCCTTGCATTTATATTTTTCATGATCAACATGACAAAGAAGCATACAATGATGGCCACATTTTAAAATTCTTTGAATCGAGACATCACATTTATGTTGTATCGGGTCTTGAAAACAACACATTACACCTCTGTGTCCACAGGGAAGGTCTTTACATACTTGTATTTTACATCTAATGGTTTCTTGGTTAATATGACAAGCCATTACAAACATATGATTGCAAGGGAGGCATTTCTCTACTTCTATGCTGCACTCACAATCGTTGGGATAATGACATTGCTTTTTACAGTCATGACCCCTTTTACATTGAACACTGTTTATTGCATGTTATTTCTATGTGACGAGGGTCCCTTGGGTGACAGTATAAGTTACATACATGCCCACATTTCAATCTAAATTCACATTTGAGGGAACATCCTCCCTCGGGCACTTCGTCAAAGTCATCGAGATTTACAGCTTGTATGCATGTTGATCTGTGATTTCTGCAGACTAACGGAACTCCTTTTCCAAGTGCTCCACTTTGTTTTAATGTTTTTAAAACAGCTGTCCACAGTTTACATTTGTAAGAATATTTCTGTATGAATTCAAAGTTGCCAATGACGTACAGACCAATTTTGGCTCGGGATAATGCCACGCATACCCGATTTTCTTTATCGAGGAAACCAATTTTTCCTTCCCTATTGCTTCTGACGAGAGAAAGGAGAATAATATCATTTTCTTCTCCCTGATAATTATCAAGAATTGAAATTCGAATTCCTTCAAATTCACTCCTTGGCATACGATTTCGTATCATAATCATTTGTCCAGAGTAGGGTGTGAGGATAGTAATTTGTTTTGTGTTATAGCCTTGCTTTAAAAGATATCGCGTTAGGCGTTCGATGTACAACACCTTGTAGTCATTTGAATATGTTTGGGTGTCTTCTTTCTTAAGTTCTTCAGCATTGTGTGACACAAAATAAACATTTTTTTCAATACCCAAGACGTTCTCGTAATCTAGTACATTTTCATTGTCTACCAGCTTCTTGTAAACAGGACGTACCAACTGCGAGATTTCCGGACGCATACGATGCTGTCTCTCAAGACAAACATATGGTAATCCTAGATTTATCATTCTCTCGAACAGTGATAAATCTAGATGATATTTTCTAGCTAGTTCAAATACCGCAGGTTTCGGTTCTAATTGCTTATGATCGCCGATTAAAATGAGATGTTCACAGTATGAATTCAATGTTGCAATAATGTGTGCCTCTAGGACCTCGGCTGCCTCCTCTACTATAATTATTCGGGGACCTATTTCTCTCAGAACATCCTGATAACGAGCCGCCACTGAAGTTGTCATGGCAATAATTGCTGAATGTGAAAGGATTTCGCGATCAATCTTCTGTTTCTCACGTGCATATTTTATTGAAATTTCTTCATATTTGATTCTCCCTGCATTCAGGAGGTGTTCCGCTTTCCTTCTTAGTTTTTGGATGAAGTATCGATACATCCTCCATCTCTGATCTAGGGGTATTCTGCAAGGTGGGCTTAGGAACTCTTGAATTTCAGTCTTTTTCATAACATCACCTTTAAGAATATTATTTTTCCCCTTTCTGACGCACTCTTTCAGCAGTTTTGTGAACACTTCATCAAAGTCACCATTCTTCAAAACTGTATCCGCTATCAATTCGAAACTGACCCCTATTTCTTCAAAGTCAGTACAAACATCGTAATCGTCGTCATCGATATACCGCTCTTTATTAATACGCTCAGCCTCTGTTTCTATGACAATTTTTTCTTCGTCTTCATAATGGAGATCTTCAGGTATGCTTTTGTTTTTTGTGGATTTTGTTATTTCAGATTTTACATAATCTTTCAATGTAGTTTGAAGCAATGACTCGCAATCAATTTCCAACCATTGTAGCATATTGAATTCATTTTTGCTTCCTACTAATGTTTTTACTTCTTTGACCCAATCCATTAAAATTTTTTCACCAAATATATTCTCATAAGATTTTTTCAGCATCCATTTGATTTTCAGCATTCTTTCATGGCATTCTTGAAGCTGATTCAAAAAGCCCTTTTCATCTATTTTCAAACCAGCTAGGTGTCTTCGTTTGTACTTTAAAGAGAATGCCTCTATTGTGGGATTTAAGCATCTTGAGCCAACACGAACAAGTTTTGGTGCCCAGTGACTTTTATTTTTAGGATCTAAAAACTTCACGATACCCTCAATGAATTGATCTAATGCATGATTTGTGTAACAAACTATCAACATTGCTGGAGATGTTTCATTGAAGTGTTCTGTTTCTCCAATATTGTTCTTGGACGTTGGAAACGCTTGATTTATTTTTCGTTCATTCATCCAATGCTTTCGATTGTGAAGCAAACATTTTGCTATCGTTAAGCCAACATGCGTCTTGCCTGTACCAGGTGGACCTTGTATAATCACAAATTCTCTCGTCAGAGCGCATTGCAATGCCCTACATTGCGATTCATCAAGATTAAGCTCGTCTGGTGAAGGCCAGTGTTTTGAATTTGATTTGAACAGGCGACAGTCTTCTTCAGATCCCCTAGTATTCTTCTAAATGTAGCCGCCGGAAATGATCGGACCCAGGTCGTATTCTATATCAGTATTGTCTTGCACGTAGAGCGGAGGATAAATGTTCTTCTGACCCTCTAATAAGTATCTACCAAAAGGTAATTCTCCATCGTAGATGTTCTGTAAAGAAGACAACACATGCCTGTAAGACTCAAAATAGGCTGCACTTTCCACCATTGTCATCGGTAAATGCATGGGAACATCTGATTTATCCTGTCTTCTGATTTTTATTTTCAAGGTGCAATCTTTTTTTATCCTTTCATAGTCAGTGTTCTCGATTACAGCAAAATACAGTGTGTGAAAGTTATCAAGCGACATGCACAGTAGTGATCCGAACAATAATCTTTTGCTTCTTTCCCAGTTAATGCGACTGACATGGGTTTCATCTAATTTGATTTGATATAAATAGCCACCAGTGCATGGTTCTTAAGAAATGATAATAACATTTTTGTAAAGTTTTACGTCTTGCAACTTTTTTATTTCTTTGTTTGTGTTCAGTGCTTTTGTTTTGATGTATTCATAAATACCACTTCTCAGCTGAGCAATGCAGTCTTCCCTTAATAGCCGGAACTGGACGTCTAAATAATGGTCTAAATTATCGTAATACCCCTTTGTTAAATTTTTCCTCAGGAATGGCTCATGGAATATATCACCCCTTGAAGGTAGAATCGGTATTTTCCGAAAATTATTTGGTGGTTTCCTCTTATCCTTTTTGTCCTTCCATTTTTCTACGTGGGATTTGACTGCTTTGACAGACAAACTATTTTGGATGGCCTCAACCTCATCCTTTATGCTTGATAATCGGTTGGTCAAGGTATCAGTACTGCTTGAGAGTATAAGTCTGGCTGTCGCTGACCTCAAATAAGTACAAAGTCCTAAACAGTCTAGAGCTATCGATGGAATTTTGCAACATTGCTGCCGTAAAACAACAAGAATATTTCCTAGTATTTCCAGCCATTCTTCGTTAGCAATTGGTGACCTTATCTCGATTCTACACAAAAGGTTACTTATGTGAGAGTAAAACTTTTGACCAGTTATTCTTGAGAGAATTTTGTTCACTTGAATTTGATATAACTGGTTATCACAAGTAACAATTATGGCAAATACACTCAGAAATAATAAAGATTGGTCAATATTATCAAAGTCTAAACCGGTTTCTTGAAAGCGCTCTTCAGACCAATTGGTGCTCTCCAATATTTGATAAACAGGTAGGTTGCTGAAAAACTTAAGATCTGAGTGGGAGTATCTTTTCTCACTTACGTCCATCGTTATTATAACCTCCTGGTAACCTACAAAAAATTGACAGTTACGATAAATTTATAGTGACATTTCCCCCTAGCCAACCCCCTCTCCCTGAGTTCAAGCCTGTCTATATAATAAGAGGATTCCTTCACTGAAAATAATTTTTTTTTTTCGTAATTATAGACAGGTTTTTCCCTGGGAAGTCTTATTACGGTATATTATGGCCTTTCATCCTGCAAACATAAGAGTTTGGAATATATAGTGAAATAACTTCACAATAATATAAATAAATAATGCAACTTTCTATAAAAATGATTCCCTGTTCCGTGCAAGTGGTGTTAAGTTCTCTTGAAATCTTTCTATTCGCCATTTTTTTCAGTAACATTATTTAACATTAAAATGTGAAAGATTTTTGAATTGTTTTACGATCTCGTTTTGTTCAAGATTTGTTGGCGCTCAAGTGAATTTTTTAAATAAATTGTTTTTCACAACGAAATATTTTTTCTTAATAAGAATATTTTAAAATCAAAACTCGAAAGAAACATTATACATTGATACACGTTTTCATAAACTCTTTTTTTTTGTTTTGTTTTGTTTTTTTGTTTGTTTCTTTTCTTTTTTTTTTTTTTTTTTGTAAGTGGGGATCCCCTGGAGTTTGTGCCTTTAAACATACATGTTTAGAAATACTTCAGAATGATTGAATAAAATCTGCATTCTGGTCTAGGCTTCAGGGTTGAAAAAGTGTCTACATTGTGTCTGCCTATTGCAACAATTAGTGATCGTGCATTTCTTAATTTTGTTAAAACGTTAGCTTTGATTGTTCAAAGCTTTCCAAAGGAAAGTTACTTAATCCTGTTATTCATATTCATTGTAAGATTTTGCTACAGAAATAAAGTTTTCATGAATTAGATAATGAGATGTTGCTTAAAATTTGTGAACAATGGTACTTAACTAACTTATGCGTGGACGCTTCATGAGAAATGTTCTAAGAAGTCAATTTTAGTTTTTATTGAAGATCGAAAAGCTTATTTTGCCATGAAATAGAGGTCTTTTAGGAAGATAACTTTGTTCTGTTTGAAAGCCGATAATACGTAAATGTGGAACCTATAATTACATATTTCCTTAATATCAGTAATCTCATGTAGAATTTGAGCAAAATAGTAGAGCGGGTAACATTAATTGCTAGATTTGATGCACTCTTGTTTTTGACAGTTTTTGTGTTCACATTAAATCTCTTTAAAAATGTGATTTTTTTTTCAAATAAACAGCATTTTTAGGATTTAATATCCTATTTATAGTCTATACAATACTAGTAAGTTTTAATTATTGATTGAAGAAACTTAAAACCATTTCTATATCACACTCAATATAAATACAGTACGGTTGTACTATTAAAAAAGGACACAATCATCATGTTTTTATTTTTAAAGAAGTTAATGTTACCTGTAAAAATCTTCCGCAATTCATTATATCACAGTAAACAGCTCTGTTGTTAGTTACATGCACTTGTTTTGCTTTCGATTTTGATACCGAGTAAGCCAGGCATATTCAGAAAGAGATTACGTAACGTTTCGCAATTTTTAAAACTTTCAATGAGATATTGTAGTGAATTGAGTATATATCACAGATACATAGCATCGTTTTTGAAAATTGAGGAGGCCGATTATAAAACTCGAAAATCCTTTTTTGTGTGGAGGGGTGAACGGTTATGTTCCAAGTTTTTTAATAAGAGAAAATTTAATGTTTTTGAATGCATTAACATTGGAGAACTTGACTATATAGCAACAAAATACAAATGAAGGGGGGGGGGGCAGTCCTTTCATTGAACATTTTCATAAAAGTGTAGGGGTGGAGTGTGGTGGGATTTCCAACTTTTTTTCGCAACCAAATTTTATTAATACATTATTAATACCATGATTTAACTATACCGGGGGTAGGGGGGCAACCAGCCTTTCAATGAACATTTTTTACAGAGAAAGTTATGCATGTTTGGGGAAAAAAGTGGGGGGCACCCCTTCCTGCTACTACGTACCTGTTTTTGTTAAATAATATTTGCTATGAATGTCAATCTAGCAAAAGACGTCAAAGCAATAACTTAAGGTTTTGCCAAAGGTCAAGACGTCCAAAAAAAGTATTTTTACAATAGCTCCAAAACTATGTGAGGTATAAAGTTAAAACTTTTATAGTTTATAAATATATCATTGATTAACAGATAGAAAGTATAACTTGAAAACAAATATTAAAAAAAATAATTTTCTTGAGAAAAAAAATGTAAAAAATTAGCATATTTTAAAAAAAAATGCACCTGCTTAATTCTGTACTTTTAGTGAAAACCATCATTGCAGAAATAATATATGTTTATCAATGAAGGGCAAGTTGGACGTGAATGGTCTCTGAAAGGCTGTTATTAAAAGCATGACATGTATAAAGACAAGACCCCTATAAAATCCGCCATTTGCAATGTACTTTCGGTTTCAAATCTTTACATTTGGACAAAATAAACAGGGAAAACTATGGAACGCCAAATTAACATATATTCAAATATTTGAACCTATTTTCAAATAATTGTACCTATCTTCAAATACATGTAATTGAACCTATCTCTAAATGAATTGAAGATAGGTACAATTGAATTAAAGATAGGTCTAAATGAATTAAAGATAGGTGTAAATAATTATACCTATCTCTAAATAATTACACCTATCTTCAATTCAATTAAAGATAGGTTCAACTGAATTATACCTATCTTCAATTCAAATAAAGATAGGTTCAATTGAATTATACCTATCTTCAATTCATTTGAAGATAGGTACAATTGATTTGAAGATAGGTACAATTGATTTATAGATAGGTACAATTGATTTAAAGATGGGTACAATTGGAACATATCCACAAAGGATTTGAAGATAGGTACAATTCAATTATACCTAGGTTCAATTCTTTTTCTGTTATTGAAAATAATGAAAGCTCCCTCTAACAGTTCCCTCCTTGTTCAGTTGTTCAAGTCGCTGCGCAAAGCATTTTATAGGGAGTAGTTGTTATTGTCAGTGTCTTAATAATTAAAGATGGGTTCAATTCAATTGCACCTATCTTTAAATCCATTATACCTATCTTTAATTCATGGCATTTGTACCTATCTTCAAATCAATTGTACCAATCATCAAATCAATTGTACCTATCTTCAAATCAATTGTACCTATCTTCAAATGAATTAAAGATAGGTAAAAATGAATTAAACCTATCTTTAATTTATTTGAAGATAGGTACAATTGATTTGAAGATAGGTACAATTAATTAAAGATAGGTTCAAATATTTGAATATATGTTAATTTGGCGTTCCGTAGAAAACAACTTTCAAGAGGCTATCGAAGTCCAACTTGCCCTTCATTGATAAACATATATTATTTCTGCAATGATGGTTTTCACTAAAAGTACAGAATTAAGAAGACGCATTTTTTAGAAATATATGCATTTTTTAGACAGAATTTTTCTCGATAAATATTTTCTTTTAACATTTGTTATCAAGTGATACTTTCTATCTGTTAATCAATGATATATTTATAAACTGTAAAAGTTTTAACTTTATAAACCACATTGTTTTGGAGCTATTGTAAAAATAAATTTTTGGACATGTTGACCTTTGACAAAACCTTAACACAAAGCCATCCTGGCATAATATCACACACATACACATATCAGAGGCAAGATTATTAATTTGTTAAGATTACTCACTTCTTTGTACCGCATATGCTAAATGTCCAATGTACACATGCAAACATGCATTTTGAAGCTATAAAGCCTTGCGCAGATCTGATTATCTAACAGATATCACATGATGCCCGATTTGATATATTGCCAGCAAGAGGCCATGGGCCGTAACACTCACCTGAGTCATGCTGGCCCTACTGTATTTAATAAAATTTTTAAAATCCTTCTTTATTTACATGAAAATTTTTGCCCCATATAGTGATCCCACCCAGTCCAAAAAGGGTCATAGCTGCGACTATGATGTCCCAAATTTTTGTTGCAATATTGTAATGAACTATTTCAATGACAGAAAAAGAATGTTTAAATAAACTTCTGTTGGTCATATTTGCAATGGAAGAACTTTTTTTAGGCTTTGATTGAAGCAAAATTACATTTGTGTCGTCCTGTACAATAATTTTTTATATCATACTACACATTCTATTGTACAGAAATCTTTCTTCTGGAAAAAAAACAAACAAACAAACAAAAACAAAAAAAAAACCTTTATTTTAGTGTAATTGATCATTAAGGTTGAAATTACATGCAGATTTATCATAACAGCACATTTTAACAGCAAAATAAAATTCTCAAATATGCAGCTCATATTGCTTTATTCCACAAAGTAACATTGAGATGCTTCAATATCAATATACTAACATCAGCATCAGAGACTATCAGAGAAGATACTTTTAAATGTTTTCTTTCCTGCATACATGCATTAGTATCAATTGATCCCTTACTTAAGCCCACCCTAACTGAAAAAAAGACTTGTATCCACACAATTTGAGAAATGTTTAATCTTAGTACGATTTAAAGGGACCACTACTCTTGTTAATGCTTTGATCCCCGATTGTGGTCCCCACTACACTTTCAGTGTTCAGGATTTACATACATAAAATTGAATTTTATTGAAAATTGAACTACCTGAGGATGCTTGCAGATTACTATGACAAATTATAGTTAATTTGTTCTTGAAAAGATTTCAAAGATGTTTAAAAAGACATTCCCGGGGAACACTTTGTTCCCCATTTCCAGCCCCACCCTACCCCTCTTGGGCCATGATTTCAACAAATCTGAATCTACACTTCCTAAAGATGCTTGTCTATTAACATGCCTAGCTGCTCATGTAAAGATTTTTTAAAAGAATTTTTTCATTATGAATTTAATCCCCGATGTGGTCCGATCCTACTCTGAGAGCCAAGTTGAAAATCTTGAATCTGCACACTACTTGAGGAATATGACCAGTCATAGTCTATCTGTTCGTGTGAAGATTTTCA